ATACAGATTGATTACTCTGGATGAAATATACATTAAGTTTTATTACTTTCACCCCACCCCCCGTGCACACGCTCACACATACTCAGAGGAAATGAATAACTATGTTTATCGATAGGCCAGTTCCGGAAGTACTACCACCAGCTGGTATTCTTTTTGTACTATTATTCATTAAATAAAAGGCCAAAGAGCCACCCAAGATAGAAGCTTACTGGATGAGATTGCATTAAGAACGTAAAGGGAGGCAGTAAGAAGTGTGTATTGTTATGATATATTGGAGATCTTGGAGAGGGTAAGATTGCAGTGGTCACAGAAACATTCACTTGAGGGTCTGTTCAAAGTGACAATTCTGAGGGTTTTGTGATGTCAACAAACACTCGTTGCCACTTTTGTGATATCAACTAATACTCGTTGTCACTTTCGTAATGCTTGTTGTTGTAGAGACTTTGTAATCGCAGATACAATTTATAGTAACGCCTTTGAACAATAATGGTGTTAGACGCCTTCGAATACAACTCGCACTAATAGTGCTTGTTCGATAATACTCGCTCGAATAGTAGCTACCGTATAGTGATCTGAAAAGAGAAATAGTATAGTGAATAGAGTAGAGAACAGCGATCCGTATAGTATAGAGGATAGACTAGAAATAGTGATCTGAAAAGTAATACAGGTTAGACTTGGAATGCAGATCAATCAGACGTCACACGACTTCATACACATGTGTTTCCTCCATGGTCACGTGGTCTACTTAATTCAGTAATGGGAGGATTGCCTGTGTTTGCTCCCTGGTGATCTATGTTCAAACTCAAATATCGGCAGCGACACTTTAATCCTATATAACAAAAATTGGGGGAATATTGGGGAAAATATCGTCTGCCTGGATCTTTCTCCACATTATATAACGTGTTACATGCTACCTGGATACTGCTATGTAACGCCCTTTCCTCCGGTAAATAGCAAGAAAGATCAACGATTCAAAAGTGCCACAGGAAAAAAAAAATTGTCTCTATTTCTGAGATGAGGTATTATGTTTGTACTTAAACATTATTCGAACTATTGTCCTCATCTTTGTCATCATGTTTATCACAACGTTTTGGCCGTTTGTACGCTCCGGCCTTCTTCAGGTGGTTGGAATGCCGAACAGACCCCACAAAAAACAACTTAGCTAATGAACTAGTCATACAAACAAATAAATTCAACCACAATTTTGATTTTAAAAATGCTACACTCATAAAAAAAGAAAATAACTCACTCAGAAGGAAAATCCTAGAGAGTGCCGCCATTGACTATTACCCAAATATTAATCTACGCCCAGGCCTTTTCCCTATTTCACCTTTCTAGAACAGAATTTCTACTCTCCCAAACAAACGTACACAACAATATCGTGAAATCAAAAGAAAATGGTTGAATCCGTCAACACAACAATAATAACAATATCTCCACGCGTGTCAATAATTGATGTAATTTTCAGTTAACAGTATGAAAATAGCGTCCTCTAAATTCTTCCAGTTGCTAAGGACATTTTGTTTTTGCTATTATTAGTTAATTTCTTTAAATAAATTCATTTCGTTTTTTGCCTTGAGAAAGTCCACATTGGACGAAACGCGTCGGCAACTATTACAGTTTTCCTATTGTCATATATATATATATATATATATATATATATATATATATATATATTAATTTATTACTTTAACGTTGTTTTTAGTGGATACTCGGATTTGAGTAGACGCTCCGTTTATTTATTAAACAGTATGTTCATTTATTTTCGTCTATTTGTCTGAATATTCATTAAATCTTATTAGAGAAAATATGCACTTCCCGACAGGATTCGAACATGCGTTACCCTAGGGAGACCGTCATTGGATCTAACATGCTTTGATTTCTCAGCTACAGGGTGTGTCAAGAAAAGTTCAATAGTGTCTTTAAGCACTTTCACAGAATATTTGCAATGCCAAGCAACGCGGACTTCTGAAGCGATGGTATTAGACTTAATTCCAATTTCTTAATGTAGGACTAAATTCAGTGGCACAGTCCTAACGCCTCAGTGATAACTGAGGCAGTAGTGACCTGAACATCCCATATTCTGGCAACATCAATCGAGAGGTCGGTGAATTATTATTATTATTATTATTATTATTATTATTATTATTATTATTGTTATGGTTAGGACCAAGGAAGAACAACACGAACACAAGAGTAGAAATAACGAAGGTATATTACACGAAATAATAATACAAGATGTGGAAGGTGTTAGTATGACTGTCAGTCTGGTTTGGAGTGAACTACTATCGGCTCGACTCGATTCGTCCCTCTCTCTTGAGAGGCGTAGTATACATAGTGTTAGGAAGAGTTCATTCTGTAGTTATAGGTAAGGACCCATGACACCCCCCTCCCAAGCTTTTACCTCGCAGGGGTCTAATATTTTTCCTTCGGATTAATCATCAAATGCTCTGTAAATTTTCTTTTTCTGCTTGATTTCCGCGGTTCTGAAATTGCTTGAGGGCTTTGCATATTGAACGTGTCAAATATTGTGTCCATTACTTCCTCCTCTTCCTGGAGTAGACCGTTAGAATCCTCTAACAATTATTGTTGTTGTTGTTGTTGTTTTATTTCCTTTGATTTCTGGTGTGTACACATTTCTTTCCGGGTCCACTACCAGAGACCTAAGGTCAGAAATGCCATCATGATATTTTTCACTGACCAGTTAAAGAAAAGAACAACAACATACATATTTTACATAGAGGTGTGGGCTGTACTCGTGAGAATATTTTTTTTTGTATTTCTTTAATGCATGGGCTTCAAGGAATCCCTTCAATGAGTTTACTGGAATCTTTTCCAACCAATCCGCGGGCTGCAACTACAGCAAAAATTGTTGATGTTTCCATGTGCCACATTTTTCAGATTTCGATTTCAAAGTCCGTGCATTTTGATAGATTTTTGAAGATCTTCGAACATACATTGCAGTCTACAAAGAGGCAATTTTTTTGTTTGTGATCCCTAATGGCGATGTCTGGGCGATTAGCTTCGATTGTTCTGTCTGTGTCTATTTTGTAGTCCCATAAAATTGTTACAGGTCCTATATCCGTAACACTGTATGGGTATATTAGTACTATTATTATTATTATTATTATTATTAGTAGTAGTAGTAGTAGTCATGGATTAATATAATCGGAGTTTAAGCTAAGGTGATTCTTGTATTTGACAAAAACTCTGTACAGTTCATTGTATTTCGAATTTTTAATCTCAGGTTTTATATTTCATTAGGACAGCTTAGTTTCTTCTTCTTCATTCTTATTATTATTATTATTATTATTATTATTATTATTTGTATATAATGGCTTTCTGCTTCGTCTCAGAGATTAATTTCTGCTCCAACCTATCAGAGTTATGCATTCTAGCCGAGAAATGTTCACCCAAGTGTTAGTTAGGGCAGTCGGTTAACGAATGATGTTGTTGCATGGACACAAGAGGAGAATGTAAGTGCTGGATATATAAGATATATAACGTTTGACACTAGACTTGAAGAGAATTCGATTGTAGTGATTGGGGAAGCAACTGCTCCAGAGTCTTTTCCATAAATTAGTGGTTCCTGAGAAGAAGCTCTCAGAGTCGTACTTCTTTCTTACAAATAGAATAACGCCGAAATTAAGAAGATTAGGCCCTGAATACGGGGCATAACTGTTACGGTCTGAACATGTGAAACTAGGGATTGTAGCTCTTCAGTGTTTTTTGCTGTGGAAATAGTAACAGAATAACGATAAACTGGCGACACTTCGTTTGTAAGAAGAGAATTGTAGGGTTGAAAATACTTCATTATCCGCACAGACATATAAGCGCTTTTGAATTCTGGAAATGTGAGGTTTGGGGAGCTCTAGCCCATATATTTTTGGTCTGAACTATCTCTTATAAAGAAAAAGCTGGGGGAGAAGGGAACAAATACTTTCTAGAGAGGTGGAATCAACCGATCATTTCTCCAGCATCTTTAGCGATGGATTGTACATTCTTCTTTCTATGTGCCGTGTCCTTCAAGGACGTAGGCGATCATAGCTCTCCACCTCCCTGTATCCCTTGCGGCTCTCAACAAGTTCTTTCCCTCTGTCACCTTCCCCAGACCACGTTCTTCCATCCACTTGCTTAAAGTCGCTAGGTATCTAATGCGTTATTTTCCCTTGTCTCTCTTTCCCTCTATTCGACCCGTGAGTATCAGGTTCTCCAAGCCCTCCTTTCTCATTATATGTCCCAGGAACATCAGCTGCCGCTTCTTGATGTTATTTATAAGCCTCCTCCTTGTTTGTATCCTCTCTGAGACCTCATCTTTGCTCACACGCTCGGTCCATGATATCCTTAGCATCCTTCTGTAGAACCACATCTCAGCCGCTTCGAGTCACTTCATCTTTGAGGAAATCGTGCCGTAAAGAAAGACAGATGTCACATAACAGCTCAGTATTCTTTTCTTTGTTACCAAAGAAACCCCCCCCCTGTTTCGCAATACTCTGCTCAGCTTTTGGAATGTGTCATTGGCTATTCCAATATGGCTGTCACCTCCGCGTCTGCTTTATTCTAGTGTTCCCGACTTGCAAATCACATTTCGGGCTCATCTTTTTACTGATGACCATGAATTCTATTTTCTTGTACTTTATGCTTAGTCCCTTCTTCGCACTCTCTATTTAGTAATATGAATTCCAATTGAGATCTGAAGTGACTATATTCCAATAGACAAGGGACTTCATTGAATGTACAAGCTTGTTTAGATATTATCAATAGAAGAGTTATAATGCTCAAATACGAAGCCCGATTGAATATCGAACTCTTTACAATAGAATATCTTGCAAAATACTGCTGTTCGGCAGGTAGATGATTTGGACGTAATATAACTGTTGATCAAATTCACATATATAATATAATTTTTTTGAGAGCATGAGATATTTTGAAAATTTTTGAAAATTTTATTTTTGTAGATATTTCCACTGGATAAATTGAAAATGTTTATGTTTCTTAATTCAAATAAACCATTGAAGAAATAAAGTTTTAGAAAGAGGGGGAAAGGTCACATAGATAGATAGATAGATAGATAGATAGATAGATAGATAGATAGATAGATAGATATACAGACATCTGAAGGTTTGGAAGATTGCATTACTTTAGTTTTCTAAATAGAGAATGGATAGCATCGGGTTTAAAATTCAGCATTTAAAACCTATCTGCGAGATAAGTAGATAGATAGATAGATAGATAGATAGATAGATAGATAGATAGATAGACAGACAGACTGACTGACTGACATCTGAAGGTTTCGAAGATTACGTTAGTTTTCTAAAAAAGAGAAATGCTAGTGTCATCTTTAAGTAATCAGCATTCAAAATGTAGCCAAATAGATAGATAGATAGATAGATAGATAGATAGATAGATAGATAGATAGATAGATAGACTCGCTATCAGAGAGAGAGAGAGAGAGAGAGAGAGAGAGAGAAAATGGTCTGAATCTTAAGGGATACTGAATCAGCAAAACAATTTGTTATACAATAACCTAAACCAATCATCAACATCATAAAAGAAGAGCTAATCCACTTTCTATCATACACTGCGTTTCACGCGCTAATGTAATATGTATGCCTATGTCTGTGTTATGCGTGAGTGACTTAATGTACACACATACAAACACACGCAACTGTACTACATTCCCTTCCTAGCCCTTTGGTCAAATCCTATTTTGGGATGAGGAATAAAATCCTAAAATTAAAGACAAGGAAAAATTATTTTTTTGAAAAAAGTAATAAAAAAATCAGATAATTAACAGATTTATTGAAGATTTCAAAAATCATTCGATAATAAATTGAGTCATTTTATAAAAGTTTTTCAAATTATTCAGAAAAGTTTTTTGATTTGTTATTGAATTAAAATATAACTGCGCACGTGCAAATATACATGTATATACAATATGAATGAAACTGAATTGGTCACCTAGATTACCATAGCTAATCTCCCTTTAGTCTGACAACAATGTCTGAGTAAGAGGATTAGAATATAAGCCACAATGTACATTTTGAAGTCATTTTCATGACTTCTTCTGTATTTAAACTATATATAATTTCAAATAACTGTAGTATTTAAACCGACAGAAATTTTATATATTAAATTTGCTCTTTTTGCTGTAAGTGTAAAGCACTGAATTGGTGAAAGCTGAAAATTTTCCTACCTTGTTGCTTGGAAATCATGTTAAGTCTTGAAAGATATGAACACAAATTAGAAAATATATAGTAAAATAATTTCCCATGACACCAACACGTCATTTTGTACGTGTAAATGGTTTATAATACCCAGAAATTCATACATCCTTAAGGACACATGGCACAGTGGATAAAGGCGTTGGTTAGATCCAGTGACGGGACCCAAAGTGTGTGAGTTCAATACCTGGTTAAGGCAGTGGAGAACTTGGAGAGGGGAATTAACAGGAAATAACTAAAAACGTGTAAATGGGTTATAATACATAAAACATAGCACGTGTAACTAGAAAAGTCTATCCCAGTGAGCGAAATAAAGGGTTCAGATCGACATTCCAACCACCTGAAGAAGGCCGGAGCGTACAACGGCCGAAACGTTGTAATAATAAATATGGCGACAAAGATGAGGACAATAGTCTGAATAATGTAAATAGTGTGTAAATGGAGATACTAAAATTAAACAAGTGAAAAATGTAAATATCTAAGAAGTGTTTTAACAGAAGAAAATACAAAACGGAAATCAGAAGGCGCATTGAGATAGCGAAAGATGCCTTCCTAAAGCTAAAGAGAGTATTAAGAAACAGGAAAATATTATTAGAAACAAAGAGTACTGAACTGTTATATAATATCGATAGGGATATTGCTGGACGATCACATCACAAATGGAGAAGAGACGATGTAACAGAAATGCGGCTCTACAGAAGGATGTTCAGAATAGCATGGACTGAACATGTGGACAATAATGTCATTTTAGAGAAAATGGAAACAAAAAGGAGATTTAACGTCAGAACGACAGTTGAAATTTCTAGGGTAAATAATGAGGAAAGTAGGCTTGGAAATTGTGACATTCACAGGATATATTGAAGGCGAGAGTGGCAAGGGAAGCACTGCATGACCTATATAACAAACTTGTGTAAATGGTTAGGAGAACAGGGATTAGAAGAGATAGCAAAAAGACAAATTTTATCAAGGGTTAAAAAATTAGAAGAAGTTGTGGAGAGCCTTGATCATCCATTTTCTGTAGGGACACGGTACACAGGAAGAAGAAATTAACGTATTTGTGCGCAGAGGTCTAAAAAGAATTGTATATTTAAATAGAAGAAGATTTCAATTGAATCCGGCAGTTTTTACAAGTATACGATTTTGTTGCATGAAAAGAATTAAAATGTGTAATGCAAGTCTTCTGATAGGAAAAGGTCTGTCCGGGTATGAAAATCAGTATTTCACTCCTGACATTTGTACGGTAGTTAACACCGAATGTTGCCAGCGGTTATGGGTGTATGGAGGTGGGAAGAATGGCGTAAAATCACACAAACAAATGCAAATTATTAGGATTATACTATGGGTGTATCCTGTAGCGCAACGTTTAATCAAATTCCTAGTACATGTGCTTTCTCGTTACGATTCACCAAATGCAATGACCTTGTGCTAAACTTAGTTATGATTTGTAAATACCTATAATTTATATACATTGGACGCCGAACTTAACGGGATGATAATACAAATACACTGGGATATATATATTAGTATTGACAAAAAGAATCTGAAATTAAGAAAGAAAAAGTCAACAGGCATAGAGAGAGAGAGAGAGAGAGAGAGAGTGAGA